CTCTCTACTCCCTCCAGTTGAGGTGCTCCCCCCTGGACTGGAGCTGGTATCAGAAGAGGAGGAGTTGAATCTAAACACTGTCAGTTGTAGTAAAGGAGGTGTTTCCAGTAGCAGTTTCTGAGCTGTTTCTAGTGTCGTATTGTCCAGTGAGATCTCTCCTATTCGTGTGATGCGATCACCAACTTTGAGTCGTCCATCAAGAGCAGCTGGTGATCTGGGCTGTATCTTACTGATAATGATACCGTCCTAAATACATGCACAAGTAAAGGTGGGTGGGGCACTATAACAACACACCTGCCAGCTGTCAGCTAATGACAGCCCAAGGGACTGATCTCCTTTGAATAATTCAATATCAGTTTCCTGACCAACGACCACAACTATAAAAACAATAAATAATTAATTGGGCGTGGCCTGTTTCCCTGGTTACCAGGACCCATACACCACATTCCCAAGTACAATACATGTACATGTACGTGTGGGTACCTTGGTCGGTGGTGGCGGTGGTTAACAGGTCGATGTCATGCTGTGTTTTATCAGCAGTGCTGTTATCGTCACTTTTAGGAGAAGACTCATACTTGACTTCACAATCTACACTGACTGGACGCCTTCTTGTTGACCTTTGAGCTTTAGTAATCTATTAATAATAATAATTAATTAATTGATCAATAATTAATTAATTGATCAATAATTAATTAATTAGAAATTAATTTATTAATTAATCAATTAATTAGAATAATTAATTAATTGATCTCTTACTCTGTTTCTCAGTGTTACTCCTTCAGAGCGAACCCTGAGTCTCTTCTTCTCCATGTTCTTCTTGTGTTTCTGAGGTGACCTGTTGAGGAACTTCTCCTGGAGCTGAGAGGGTAACTGAGACTGGGACGAGACTATCAAACTGACAGAACCTCTTGAACGAGCTTGCTGTAATAAATGAGTGGCCTAGAGAGAGAGAGAGGGAGGGAGAGAGGGAAAGAGAGAGAGAGAGAGAGAGAGAGAGAGAGAGAGAGAGAGAGAGAGAGAGAGAGAGAGAGAGAGAGAAAGAGAGAGGGAGAGAGAGAGGGAGGGAGAGAGGGAAAGAGAGAGAGAGAGAGAGAGAGAGAGAGAGAGGGAGAGAGAGAGGGAGAGAGAGAGAGAGGGAGAGGGAGAGGGAGAGAGAGAGAGAGAGAGGGAGGGAGAGGGAGAGGGAGAGAGAGAGGGATACCGCATAATTAGGATGGATATACAATTTAAAATTGATCAAATAAAACTCAACCACTCAATACATTAGTTATACATGTACATGTACATATATACCCTCTCATATTTGGTTCCCAGTACATTGTGTCCATCAATTGATAGAATATAATCACCAACTTGTAAGTGACCGTCCTAAAATAATAAAATTAATAATAAAAAGACGTCAAATAAATCACTTCTTCATGTACTTACCAGGTCAGCTGGTCCTCTTGGTATTATTGAAGATACCCTTACTCCGGCTTGTCCATTGAAATCAGCTTCTGACACATTGAAACCAAGACCTAGTTCATCATCCTACAGCAAATGTAAATATTTTTTGATACATATTGATGTCCATATTCTGTGTAGAAAGTTTGAGTTGATTCCGGCTTCAATATTTTGAGTTACGGCCATTTTAAGAAAACGTCAAAATTCTGAAAAATACCCAAGGCTATAGCCCATGGTTTTTTCCAAAAAATGGCTCCGAAATCACCCCCAATTTTTATTACATTTTCTGATACATATTGATGTCCTTATGCTGTGTAGAAAGTTTGAGTTGATTCCGACTTCAATTTTTCAAGTTACAGCCATTTTAAGAAAATACCAAAATTCTGAAAAATACCCAAGGCTATAGCCCATGGTTTTTTCCAAAAAATGGCTCCGAAATCACCCCCAATTTTTATTACATTTTCTGATACATATTGATGTCCTTATGCTGTGTAGAAAGTTTGAGTTGATTCCGACTTCAATTTTTCAAGTTACAGCCATTTTAAGAAAATACCAAAATTCTGAAAAATACCCAAGGCTATAGCCCATGGTTTTTTCCAAAAAATGGCTCCGAAATCACCCCCAATTTTTATTACATTTTCTGATACATATTGATGTCCTTATGCTGTGTAGAAAGTTTGAGTTGATTTTGACAACAAAATTTCAAGTTATGACCATTTAAAAACAACAATGGAAACTTTAATTACATGTATATATACACAGTACATGTACAGTACAGTAGCTGTACTTACCCTCTCCAGGTTAACTGCTTTAACTAATGGTAGACCTGATAGATCAACTGACGGTTGCTGTACACGTATCATGGAAGAATAAAATGACAATAATAAAGATGAGATAGTTTACTAATAATTTACTAACTTTAGTAAGATACTGGACGCCATCCAGTGAATGAGTTGATGACTGGTGACTGAGTCTAGGGTCAGGAGTAGGCCTAATATAGTAACGTTACTATAAATAGCACATTGTGTCTATAAATAGATATTACCTCATCAGTACAAGATTAACCAGAACTGATGTACGAGACAAGAGATCAGAGACGTCCTTTTGACTCCACCCCTTGATACAGTGCTCATTAACCTAATAACAATAATAATAATAATAATAATAATAATAATAATAATAATAGCACAACAACAACAATAATAATAATAAAATATTATTATTACTTGAATTAGTTCGTCTCCTCTCTTAATCTTCTTGGTCCTATCAGCAACGCTGCCCGGTTGTATCTGCATGATACTCACTCCAGTGTTCGGTGATTGACTCGTCTTTAATATACTCAAACCTTACAACAAAACTAATTAATTGTGTGGGTGGTAGGGTCGGTTACCTAGTCCTCCTTGTCCTCTGTTCAGTGTCACCTGGTAGAGGTGGCCCTGAGCGTAAGGATAGGACTGTCTCAACTCCTCGTCCTCCTCTTCGTCTATAGCCCAAGAACCATCCTATAGTATACAGAGTAGATTACTAATAGTATACAGAGTAGATTACTAATACTATACAGAGTAGATTACTAATAGTATACAGTGTAATTTACTAATAGTATACTGACTTACGTTGGAGTGTAGAGGTGAAGTGTGTACTCTCATTCCCGTCCCGTTGTTAGCAGTACCAGCTGATGGTATTATTGAGTGAAGAGGTGGTGGGTGGGGCTGAGGGGGAGGAGTATAGGTCTGTACCAATAGATGAACTGGATTAGGACAATTCATTATGATACTGATAGCATCTGACTGGGAGACGTTTCTGAGGTCAATACCATTAACCTGAAAACAAACAAACAAACAAACAATTAAACAAACAAATACACATGTAAATGAATAAATAAAATACATGTAAATTCACATGCAACAATTCAAACAGTAATTATTAACAGCTGCACACTTACCTCCAATATCTTATCTCCAACCACTAGTTGTCCTTTGGTCATACTCTGACATCCAGCCGATATATCGTTAATGACCACGCCCCCTTCCTCTATAGACCCGAGGGATATTCCTAAAGATCCCGAAGCATTCCTCTTCACCTCTACTAGTCTTGGCTGGGTGGGGTCAATATAAGCCCCGCCCATTCTAGCCCCATACATGACACCAGTCGGCTCATGTGACCAATGGCCCCGCCCAGGGTTGTGGTCATAGTCCCCGCCCCCTTCATATCGCTGAGGAGAGTAACTAGGAAATGAATAAGTATCTGTGCTGTACATTGGCGGAGGGGGCGGGGCTAATTGAGGAAGGCGTGTCATCTGCTGATGTTCCAATTCAGTTCTGTGGATAGTGTTATATTTATGAGGCATCGCTGGTCCATAATGATACTCATTACCAGATCCTGTGTTACCCCCGTACTGACCAATCCTCCAATTACCTTGAGCCCCACCCCCAGGATGAGCCCCACCTCCAGAATAGTCTCCACCTCCTCCGGCACTTGCTCCGCCCACTCCTTGAGTAATATTCCAGTTCAGTGGGTGATGGTAGGTGTGGCCACCACGAGAAGGATTAACATGACTTTGATACATGTCGTATACAGGAGGAGGGGCTTGGGGGTGTGGCTTGACCACGCCCTGTTGCACATGATCCATGTATGTCTGTATCGGGTGGTGGGGATGACGGGGAGGGAGGGTGTAGTAGTGCTGCTGGGCCCAGGGGTAGGCCTGGTGGGATTGAGTGGACATTAGTCCGCCATGTTGCTGTTGCTGCTGCTGGTGTGATGGTATATTCATCTGGTGACTCATTCCAGTGTGTTGTCCTGAAGCTATGTATCTAGCAGCTGTAGCAGGAGCTGACGGTGTCTCTGTGTTAAATAAAGGTACATGAATTTACAGATTAGTATATTATTAGTATACTTACCAGAGGGTCCTCCTCCTCCTCCTGCTGAAGATGTTATGATGTTGCTGTAACTCATGGAGAATCCTTGAGGTACTGGTAGATATGTTATCCTAAATGGAGGAGGATAGAAATAGAGATGCAATAAATATTGAATAAATGAAGTTCATATACTTACTTCACTTTAGTTGATTTTGTGGAAGAAGCTCTTTTAAGCATACTCCTACAAAACAACAAACAATATTTGAAATTTAGTAGCAGCTGCTGCTAAATGCATCCATCACCTTCTAACTTTCCTATTCTCTCCCTCTCTTTCTCTCTCTTACTTGACTTTAGCAATGCTCAGTCCTTCCACTGATTTTCCATTGATTGCTAAGATACGGTCACCAACTCTCACCCTTCCATCTTTAGCAAGAGCTGAGCCTGACTCAATCTTTTTCACGACAATGAATCCTTTATCCTCCATGACAGTTAGACCTTTGCAAGAAGAGACAGAGATATATTGAAGCAAATGTGATGGAAGCAGACAAGATGGCAACAGAGAAGGATATGGAAAACAGCTTTGAAACATCTCTCTCTCTCCTTCTCTTTCTCTCTCTCTCTCTCAATTGGAAAGAGATAAGCTCAGGTATTAAGATATGCCACAGGCTGGTAGGAAAACAGCTAGAGGCAATGGTATGTTTGTGAAAGGGAGCTCTCCCTTTTATACTGGGAGGGTTGGTAAACCACAAACTAGTGGCTGGAAAACATTATCAGCATTCCATCACTCACCAACAGGACAGAACCAAAAATGAAAATGCTAATTTACACCATCAACTGTCCATGTAATACCACCCTAACTGCACATGTACAGTGTAGCCTTGCTATAATGGACACTTTGGGGCAAGAAAGTGTCTCTGTTATACAGAGGTGTCCTTTATGTGGAGGTTATTTTATACAGTAAGGAATGTAATTGGTACACTAGGTGCTGTCCATTAAATGGAGGTGTACATGTAGTCCAGCCTGTCTGGAGGTGTGTGTGTGTATAAGTAATGTAATACCTGAGGACTGAGATATCTGCTTGAGGTGAAGCTGAGGGCAGATATCAAGGGACTCAGGTATTACATTACTGGTACACACTACATGCTACAGTTTCTAAGTCTAATGACACAAAGCCATATACATTGCACAAACACTAGGTCAATGACAAATTGAAAGTGCTTCAGTAATATACTAATAATGTACAAGATAAGTGAGTAGCTGTGTCTGGCTGCTTTATAAACATTCCAAGGGAACAAGTCAAAGCTAACTGAAACTAAGGACTGCTGCTAGACTAGACAAGATTAAAGATTCAAAAAAGACCACAACATTTCTTATAACACCACTGTCAGGTAGCTACAAGCCTCAGGGACCATGTGTACATGTACATGTACAGTCAGTCCTGTTTATCCTGGACACTTTGGGACCCCATAATACCCTAGCTCCTGATTATGAACCTGTCCTTATTTCAGAGGTTCATTAATACACATTACTATTGTATTGGGATTTGGGACTGATACTAACCCTCCTCATTATAGAGGTGTCCTTATTTTAGAGTGTCCACAATAGGAGGAGGTTATACTGTATAAGAATTTTGTTACACTAATGTATCTTCATTAAACTAATAATTAATATACTGTTGATATATTATGCTACGTATGATAATAATTTTGAGTGGATTCCAACTACGTGTTACAAGCCTCAGTAACAAGTAATGAATATCATTATAGTCCGACCCACGATAGCCTTGTAACGTTTCATGCATTTATAAAGAGATCAGTAAAGGTTGAAGGATGTGTTTAGGAAAATGTTTAAGCTAACAATTTTTGAATGGGCAATTCACTGCAATTGCCCTGCTCTAATTAAACAATTAATTGAATATAATTAAATACACATGAGGACATTTTGTAATGTCCCAATTGGTACAAGCCTATACAAAAGTACCTCTGAAATGAGGACACCTTGTATTAAGGACAGGTAGTGTGGGCCCAATGGTGTCCTTAAAAAAGAGGCTACACTGTACATGTATTAAGGACAGGTAGTGTGGGCCCAATGGTGTCCTTAATAAAGAGGCTACACTGTACATGTATTAAGGACAGGTAGTGTGGGCCCAATGGTGTCCTTAATAAAGAGGCTACACTGTACATGTATTAAGGACAGGTAGTGTGGGCCCAATGGTGTCCTTAATAAAGAGGCTACACTGTACATGTATTAAGGACAGGTAGTGTGGGCCCAATGGTGTCCTTAATAAAGAGGCTACACTGTACATGTATTAAGGACAGGTAGTGTGGGCCCAATGGTGTCCTTAATAAAGAGGCTACACTGTACATGTATTAAGGACAGGTAGTGTGGACCCAATGGTGTCCTTAATAAAGAGGCTACACTGTACATATTTCTTACCAAGATGAGCTGTTCCTTTCTTAATATCCACTTCTCTCGGTTCAGTTTCAACTGATTCAGCGGAGTGATCACCAGTGTCACTGGTATCAGGGCTGAGACCACTCTCAACGAAGCTGTCCTGAGACTGGGAGGGACTGAATATAGTAGCCACACCTCTTTCCCCACCCATCCCAACACTGGTTGCAACAGAGCTGGCCTTGCTGCTGGTACTCAGTTGAGTTTTAAGAGAAGACGAGACGTCTCTTTGTTGATGAGGAGGTTTTACTTTCATTAGAGGAGAGACCTGCTGCTTAGGACTGGGTTGATTACTAATAATAAACAAATAAAATAATATAAATAATTAATGAGTTAATTTTAAGTTTTTAACACAATTTTACAAGTAAAGAATGACCCACTTTAAAGTTCTAAAATTTTTGGAGTTGCTCCAAAATCAGGCCAAAGTCCCTGGGACTTGGGCCAAATTTTGCCAAAAATGAAAAGTAGAAAATTCTCCATTTTTATTACATTTTCTGATACATATACATGTTCTTATGCTGTGTAGAAAGTTTGAGCTGATTCCGATCAAATTTGGATTTTTTTACGAATTTTTAAAGTTGCTTCAAAATTGGACAAAAGTCCCTGTACTATAGTACATGGTCTCGGGCCAAATTTTGCCAAAAATGAAAAGGAGAGGATCCTCCATTTTTATTACATTTCCTGATACATATACTGTACATGTACTTACATGTACGTATGTGTAGAAGTGCCTTACCTTGAGAAGTGAAGGTCCTGATGACTAGAACTGCCGACTAAAGTTTCTTCAGAAGTCGATTCAACATGTCGTAGATTATGTCCTGTGACTCCGCCCCCAGACATGCCCATATCTCCCCTCGCCGGCTCGTCACTTCTAGTACGAGACAAGAAATTCATTCCGGATTGAGTCTGGGTCTTTGGTTTAGCAATATCAGGGGGCGTGGCACTTCTGATCCCGTCAGTTGCTGACGCAGCACGTCTCTCGGGTAAATCAAGAAACTGAGAAACTTCGTCAGGTTCTGACCTCACGTGAGTGTGAGCCTACGAATAAACAAATAAATAAATAAAATACTAAAATTACTGATATTTCATTCTTACATGTTTCTTTCCATTTTTTCGATCAAATTCTTCATCATCATCCAATCTGTCCTCATCAAGGAGATGGTCTGGTGATAAACTGTTAGAAGTAGCAGTTGAATCAAAATCAGGACTGAACAACTCTCGCCTGTTAATACCCAGAACCACAGTGCCGTCCTACCAGAAATAATAAACATTTAATAAAGTACATGTGGGCGGTTATGATGTCGCTATATTTTTCGTGGTTAAGCAAAGTGAACCAAATCGTGGCTTTTATTTTCGTGATTGTCAGAGCACTACTGCATGGTGAAAGATATGGTACAACGATGATTTAATGTTTTGTGGTAATGAACCACAGACCACTGAAGCAAAAGAAATTACAAAACACCTTCACTTCTCTCCTCCCCCATCTCTCTCTCTTTTTCCCTCCCTCTCCCTCCCTCCCTCCCTCCCTCTCTCCCTTACCAGTGGTACAGAGTTCAGCTGCTCTACAGTAAACTGAAGTGTCTGGTTGACGACTGACACTCCATTTATATTAACTAGCTTGTCTCCTTTTTGTAACCGACCATCTCTCTCAGCTGCCCCTCCAGAGACTAAAGAATGAACTAGAGTGACGGTATCACCTGGTGAAGACTCATCCTGTGTGAATGATAAGAGGAAATGATGAAATAAGAAGAGGTTATACAGTAAAGGAACAGTAATGTATATTAATTGTTGAATTAGAGCAGGGCAATTGCAGTGAATTGCCCATTCAAAAATTGTTCTTACTGCAACAATTTCTTCCCTCAAGATAAAGAATGCAGTCTTTACCGGTCTCTTTATAAATGCATAAAACGTTACAAGGCTATCGTGGGTCGGACTATAATGATATTCATTACTTGTTACTGAGGCTTGTAACACGTAGTTGGAATCCACTCAAACTAACTCATGAATTACACAATGTAAGGAATCCTCATTATAAAAAACACATGTACATGTACATGTATCTTTAATATAGAGGCTATACACTGTACATGTAGGTGTGGCCTTACATATAACCACACCCCTAATTAATCTAAAGGTGACCACACCCTCCTAATTGGTTATAACCACACCCACCTAGTGCATTGTGGTCTCACGTGAGCGGAGGTGGCAGGGATGTACATGTACATGTTCCTCCATAGAAACTTACAGAGAAGTTCAATATACTGAATCCTAGTCCTTCTCTTCCTTTCACTAGTTTAATGAAGGTCACTGTAGTCTCCCAGGCTGATCCTGGTACCGGAGAGAGGGCGGTGCTTGTTGAAGATTCTTCTGACGCTAACGAGTCTCTGTTGTTGGAACCACCCCCGTCACTGGATTCATCACCGTCTCTGGCCCCACCTACTTCATCTCCGCCCACTCGTTCACCACTCTATTAATAATAAAAAAGAGCATAAATTTACATATGTATCAGGAAATGTAATGAAAATGGAGAATTCTCTCATTTTTGACAAAATTTTGGAGCAACTTTAAAAGTTTGTAAAAAATCCAAATTTGATCAAAATCAGCTCAAACTTTCTACACAACATAAGAACATGTATATGTATAAAATACAGTACACTGGTACATGTACACTGGTATACTGGTACATGTACCAGTGGTACGCTGGTACATGTACACTGGTACACTGGTACATTAGTAAGTACTCATCCTGTGAAGGATAAGAGGACATGATGGAATAAGAAGACCTTATAGAGTAAAGGAACAGTAATGTATTGTTTAATTAGAGCAGGGCAATTGCAGTGAATTGCCCATTCAAAAATTTTTGTATACAGTTACAAAAAGACATTCCCACCTCCTTCAACCTTTACTGGTCTCTTTATAAATGCATGAAACGTTACAAGGCTATCGTGGGTCGGACTATAATGATATTCATTACTTGTTACTGAGGCTTGTAACACGTAGTTGGAATCCACTCAAACTAACTCATGACTTACACAATGTAAGGAATCCTCATTATAAAGAATAAATAATATCATTTTCAATTTATTATTAGATCTATAATATCATTTGATTGGAATCAGCTCAAACTTTCCACACAACATAAGTACATGTATATGCATCAGATACAGTGCACTGGTATGCTGGTACACTGGTATACTGGTACACTGGTAAATTGGTACGTACTTCATGTAATGATGGGAATGATATCGGTGCGTAATAGCTGTAATGTAGTCCGGAGGTAAGTGAAGACTTCTTCTCTCCAGTCTCCTGCTTGTGCTTCTCTTCTTCAATCCTGTTCCTTCTCTCCTCATTCTCCTTCTCTACCCTCTCCAGTTCGTCCGCCTGCTCTTGAAAGAATCGCTTGTAATGCTCTCGTCTCAACTCAAACCTCTCCTTTAACCTGTTGATAAGGAAAGAGAGAGAGAGGGGGGAGAGAGAGAGAGAGAGAGAGAGAGAGAGAGAGAGAGAGAGTGATGTACAGCTGGATTATATTAGGACAGATTGATAGTAGCATTTATAGGCAGCTGGTGAAGAAACCGCCAATATATATTCATGATTCATTCTTCACATGCTCATGATGGAACAAGACTAAATCTTAATATACAGTTGTTCATGTACAAGTAACTACATTTTACCAAAACATGTACACGTATGCACTTAAGTACCTCCTGGTTTCCTCGTTGTGTCTTTCTCTCCAGGACTGTCTCTCAAAACGTGAGAAATTCAAGTTTTGATAAAGACCAGCAGTCGCATGTATAGCGACAGGAGAGGGAGAGGTTGCCAGGGAGACAGGGAGGGTGTGGTCATCCTCTGACTCTGAGGTGGTCGGTTGGTGAACTTCAATTGGAGGGAGGCCAGAGGTAGAGGAGATAGGAGGGACTGGAGACACTAGAAATTAAAATGGAGTACATAAGAGGAGACGTACAGCTGCAATGCAATATACATGTACATCATCAACATTTTAAATGCCATATTTGATCAAAATATTTATTATTTATTATCAAGAATTCTTGAGGCTCATGTACTGTACATTTATTTTAATACAAAAATTGAAGAATTAAAGTAGCCATTTGTCAGCAAAAATGAGAATCAATTTTAAGCCAAATTGAAACAGAAAGAAACTGTTTATTACATGACAATATTCCTTCTCCATTATATTGAAATCATGAACAAGTAGATTACCTTGATCAGTGACTGATTCCTTATCAATGGTATCAGTATCAGCTGGTCCAGTGTTAGTCCGACACACTATCAGTTTAACACTACCAGCTGCCTCCCGTACCACGTCACTCGCCATGTCATGTGACATACCCACCAGCACCTGACCATTGACTTGAAGTATCTCGTCTCCTACTCTTAGTCTACTAGCAGTGTCCATTGGACCGCCTTCTTTAATGGATTTAATAATGTGACGAATACTGCCTGTTATAATTAATAATAATAATAATAATAATTCCCATCATAATGTTATCTACATGTACAGTACATGTATGTGTCACACTCTCTATTGTTGTGTTATAATAATAATAATAATAATAAAGATTAGTAGCATTAAGCTAAATTGATTTATTAGAGCAGGGCAATTGCAGTGAATTGCCCATTCAAAAATTGTTTCTTTCTATGACAAGATAACTTCACACTTCTTCATCCTTTACTGGTCTCTTTATAAATGCATAAAACGTTACAAGGCTATCGTGGGTCGGACTATAATGATATTCATTACTTGTTACTGAGGCTTGTAACACGTAGTTGGAATCCACTCAAAATTATTATCATACGTAGCATATATCAACAGTATATTAATTATTAGTTTAGCTATAACTTGAAAAATATTACTTTCTTTAAAAAAATTGGCTCTAAAATGATCCTAAATTTTATTACATTTTCTAATA